TACTAGTTCATCTTTCTCTCAAGACTTGCTTGTCAGCGAAGAGTAACGCTGACCTGTAACTCTGGTGCGACGTCCTTGTCAGTGGCTGCAAAATCCAGACGGTAGACGATGGTGGGGACTAAGAAAGATTCGAAACAAAAAACATTTCAGTGTCTCTTTTCTTTGCGGAAAGTATCGGCTCGAAGAACTGACCTGAAAAGGGGACATGTAAAATACCATAATGACTCGAACAAGGTACTAAACAAAGATATAACTGAACCACTTACCCCATCTTCAAAGGGATCGCATACAATCGTGAGCCGGTGTTGAGGTCATGCACATATAACGACATGCTGGAACAAGAAAAGCATCAATACAACAGGAAAAACCACTTTCTCAAATGCACGCACCTTCACATCTTCAATATAAGAGACAATAAGGCGATCGTTAGCAACTGGTCTAGCCCAATCCAACTTGTGACGAGGATTTTCAGGTATGACTTCTTTAATTGATTTATCTTTCAATGAGATTCTAATTAACTTGAACATTGGAGCATCGTGATCGGTGAGGATCAGCATAGAATCGTTGTCGTGATCAACGTACTGAAAATTGCGTTCATTGTGAGGCAAAAGGGCAGTTCAAAGATAAGACCACAATTTTAGCGCGGCACTACCCACTATATATGATTTGCTACGTTTGTTTGTTCTGAAGTTCGGTTAGACCTGACGAACAACGTAAAGAGGGCCGCTCAAGGCCGGCTGACATGTCTTAAGGATTTATCGTGCCGTTTGCCTTCGAGAAGAAGCCAATGAGTGATGGAAACAAGCTGTGTTGACTCAATCCATCTCTTGGAATCGGGAAACAGTCAAGACAATCGTAATTCGCCGCTCGTCACGCGCGAAGGACACATATTTGGCACTGCTTACCTTTTACAGCCCCGAACATCGTGAAAACCAGTTTTCGGCCTTCTTTTTTCTCCAAAGCCAGCATGGCTAAAAGTTTGTCTGTTTGGTCTAGTTTGACCTCCTGAACTCTAATATGACAGTTACCCACCACGAAAGCACTGATCGTCCGCGCCAGGCGTCGGCGCCAAAGTACTCGAAATCATCAAAACTGAAAACTTTTCAACTGGGTAGTTTGACTTCCGGACCCAACACGAATATTGCATCCATTCAGTCTCAAGAGGCCTGACGCATTCGTCTCAAGCGGCTCATCACATGCTTGTTTCAACTCCGGCGCGTGAGGCACAGAGTTCAGTCACTTTCGTGCGGAGCTCTGGGCTAGGGCAGTTAGGCAAACGGTGAAGAAAAGAGGCACTCTTTCCTGCCTGTGATATTGACCCTCCCTTTACCAAAACTCAGCCTCGGCGTAGGAAAGGACACTCTCTCGGGAATAGGGTGCAGACCAGCAGACAGATTGCGCTCACGTGTGCCCCCTGTACTCCATCCTGAACATTCTCAATCCTCATACAAATGTAGTGCCCTTGCTCACTACCCCCGTGGACAAGTTTTCAGCGAACTCGGTGGTTTCGACCATTTCGGCGCAGGCGCCTATGGCCCTGGCGCCAGGAGGTTTTGCGCTAACGGATGTGATATTCGTATGCAAGAGGTCAAATCACCCCAAGGAACAAAATTTCATTTAACTCTGCTCACAAAGGAAGAGTCCGGTCAAAATTTGGCCTGATTTTAGCTGATTGGCTAATGAAGAGTAAATAGTAAATGCTTTCAGGTACGTGTATTGGCTTGTAACTTGATCGGACTCCACCAACATTGTAGGAACTTTGGTTCTACATTTTCCATTCTTAAAATCCGCGACCTAGAACCATCGCAATTGACGGATAAGACGTCATACGCGACGCCACCTTCGCAAGAGAAGTACGATTCTCTTGTCACATGCCCCTTGGAACCGCGCGTCCGACTGATTTGCGACGTTATGCGTGACTGTGATAGGCTACATTCAACGTTAGCTAGTGGCTTCAAAGCCATGAAACTCTGAACCTCTAAACCTGGTCCGCTGAGTTTCGCTCATCACTCACCATTGCTGTGACAACTTTGGCGAGGCAGATATAGCAGCGCATTGAACAGGCCAACTTACAAGGCAATCGTTGCCCGAGATGACACTTAGGCTCGTCGTAACGTGGCACGAGCAGGCAACGTCAGAGGCTATGCTGCTTTTAAAAGTTGAAAAACAGCAAGCAAAACGCAGGGCGCTCAGGTTTTAGGCCCATTTGCGCCCGATAGGGCCCATGCCGGCCTCCAGTGACCGGTGGCCCATGCCGGCCTCCCAGTGAGCTGCAAATGGCACTACCCTAGTGGTGCTTTTGTGGGAGCTGCCATTGGCCTCTCGCTCGGGCCGTCAGTTTCCTGGCCTCTATCTGTCGTTCCTTATCAGTGTGTCGCCGCCTTTCGCAATTCGCAATGATCTTCACCACCTTACGCTCGTCCGGTGATCATGATCAATTGCAATAAAGAGGGACTTATTCCGGTCCCTTTCTCGTGTGGCTTCCTTCTTTGTCTGTCAAGGCGGTCAACAGCAGCAAGGTGCCCGCGCAGAGCCCACGCAATTCTATTTTTGAATAGTATTACCTATGATCTGTGGTCGCGGAAATCGCCTTCAACATCATGAAAAAACAACTCTTAAACCTCGTATTGCGCGTCCAACTTATCGAATAATGGTATAGGGTTGATTTTTCCAGTCGGACCCTTCATTGTAGACAAGTCATAATAATAAAGCATGTTAGAGACGAGTCTTGAGAAATGTAGATAATGAGAAAGCGGCCATCCTCTGTCACTGTTCCTGTGCTGTAAATTGAATGTAAATATCACTGCAAATTGCTCCCTAGAAGACTTAACAGTGAAGATGAATAAGAAAAGCAAACATTGAAAGATCACTCTGATCTCTACGATCATATACAAGAACATCGTCCTTGCTGTCAGTACCCATACGATGGAAATAAAGAGACTGATTTTCGTTCTTGTCCACTGACGTACCGTCGAAACCTGTCTGAAAAGATATTCATTGAATATGCTGAAAACGCTTTCGCTGTCTACTCTGAGTCCCTGAAATGCGGTAGGCGTGGATATGTGCTTCATTGAACATGGCGGGGGCTGCGAGTTTCGCGGACAGTGTTTGGGTTACCGTGACCAAGAGGCTTCGTAGACGCGGTGTTGCTGCGCGTCGTGTGCCTCACGTCTCGCCCGCAGAGGACGATGGTTTCAGGCAGTAGATGGCGACAACATGCAATTAAGGACCTGAAAACAGTAATGAGTGTCTACGATGGCGGGGTCTACATGAAGTCCGGTGCTCCATTCGACAGGTTAAAACGAGTTATGAAAACGCCGCGCCCATCGCCGCGCGTGGCGGTGCGGCGAATTACGATCC